CCCCCCCCCACTAAAATGAAAGGGAAAGGGCCTTCTAAAGACAAAACCCCAGGGAGACAAAGAGGTGGGATGTTGTGGACCTGCAGGTGCTGGGCACTGGGAGCCTGGTGGCAGAAGCAGAGCTCTGGGGTGCAGTGGGAAGCTGCCCTTGGAAGGAGATCTCCTTCACCCCCTCCTGAAGAACAGAGGTATTGAGGCCCTTAGGACAGGGTCCTGTTCTGAAAGTGGGGGCATCAGTGAGATGGGGTCTGCCTCCAACTCCCCAGAGTCTCTCCCCAGCTTCCCCCCACCCCAGCCCTCAGAGACGGGGCTCCTCTTTGCAGCAGTTGCTCAAATGAAGACTGCTGCCGGGGCACCAAGGGGTACGGGCTGGGGTCCTGCCACTGCACTCCCAGGCAATAAGCCATGGCCCTGGGCCGACTGCTCCCTTTAATGCAACTGGACATCCCAGGCCCACCACACACGAGAAAGCAGGAGGACAGGACAGGCACAGAAGGCACAGAAGGGACCAAGCAGTGGCAGCTGAAGCGAGGTCCTCAGGGCCGCAGGGGCTGTGCACTGACAGTCAGTGTCGGAGCGCACGTGCCTTCTTTCTAGTAAGCCTGTCCTTCTGAGATGCAAAAAAAGAAAAACATGAGAGGGAAATAAGCAATTCAACAGAGGCTGAGAGAACGTGAGTCTCTCCCAGGCTGTCGCAGCAAAACCACAGTTACAGTACAGTGGGTGGTCACCCTGCTCAGCTCTCCAGTGGAGAGCCAGCCTGGCAATGGCAAGGGGACAGCTGCAGGGGTGGGGTCAGAGCTTACTTCCTGTGTGTGGGTGCTGTTCCCACCCCTCCGCACCTGTGCATCCTCACCCCCAATGAGGGGGCACTTTGTGTCCCCATCTTTGCAGGTGAGCGAGTGGAGACACAGACTAGTACTACCCAGCAGGAAGCAGCAGAGCAAGGCCAGGCTGTGCCCTTAACTGCCCCTCTCAAAAGATAAGCTGAACAGCTAAATGGTAAGAGTTCCAGAAAAGGAGAGGGGAGAATTCAACATTTCATACGACTAGAACATAGGTAGGGTCAGGACAACAAATCATAGAGAAGCCTACATCATTGTCTGCAAAGAGAAGACCAAGAGAGGAGAAACCACTGGCCAAAATTCAGGAAAACACAGGAGTTCTTGGGTCAGAGAATGACATGACACCCCCAAAATCCCTGATTGGAACAGTTTTCAACCTAACTGTACTTTTGTACTTAGTCACACTAACAAGTAGATAGAATAGGGCTGCACAGCAGGGCCCACAACTTCCACACACCCTCTCTTGGAAAACTGGGAAAATGCTCCTCAGAGAACACATGACAGAAAAGTCAGGTGTGGAGTCCAGACACAAGAGAAAGGAGGCACTCCAGAGTGCTCAAGGAGCACCCCATACTGGCAGAAATCTATGATGGCAGCCTGGGGCAAGAAGCTCTGTAGCATGGGGTGTGGCTCAGGAGACACTTAAGCGGGGCATCAGTCATGCAAGAATCCCAGAGTCAAGGTGGGCCCCACTCCTGCAGCTGAACTCATGAGCTGTGTGTAGAGTGAAGCAACCAAAAAAATCAAAAGCAATTATTAACCCCAGGAAAAAGTTGGTTAAGAAAGAAAGGCAATCCTAGCACACCTTGTTCTCTGCCAAGACCAGTAGTAATGAAGTTGGAATAATGGCCACTAAACCAGGTATGACACTGCACACTAGGATGCTGCTGGGCCAACGGATTGAGGCCAGTGACTCCTCCCACACCACCCTGGGGACACACGTAGAGAACCCTATAAAAAGTAAAACATTGTGTGTGGTTTTCTGAAACTTGTATTTTAAGAGTTGAATTTGGGGGAGGATCTGAGTTGGAGATTGTATTCATCATAAGATCCCATGCCACCTTTAGAGTAATAAGTTTAATCTTTGAAAAGACAGAGGCTAAGATGCAATCCTCAACCTAGGTATGAGTGAATGAAGCATCGGCAGTAATGCTCTGTAGTTTAATTATGATACAATCTGTCAGGCACTTGCCATTCAAACTCTCAAAGATGCTGCAGAACCAAACAATTTAGAATCAGAATTCCCAACCAGAATGTGCAAATTACTTCAGGCCTATAATTTTCAGTTGAAAGCTATGAGAATTTGAATAACTTTGGAAAGATACTGGAATGCTTAAGGTTTGCTACATCTGCCATCACACTTGCTCTGCCTTTGTGTGTCTGGGTGAGAGTGGTGTGGCAGATGGGACGATGTCACCTCCCAAAGACAACCGCCACACCACAACCCCTGGGACCCAAGCATTACTTTCCATGGGTAAGAAGAAGGGTATTCTTCAGAGAGGATTAAGGACATCGAGGGGGGCACCCCACACAATCACATCAGTGTTCCTGGCTGCAGACCTGACAGGTGGCCCAGAAGAAACCCACTCTCTGAGCTGCCCCAGGAGGGAGGATGTGGTCCCAAGCTGAGGACCGAGGCAGGGCCTGGAGGCCAAGGACAGCAAGATGTCTGCAGGCTGCAAGAGGGACCAGCCCCTGTAGGCCAAGCGCCCAAATGAGCAGGAGGAAGTTTCGCCCTGGAGCCCCAGACAGGTGCAAAAAACCCATCACTAGATAGCCAGGCAATCTCCCGAGCATTCAGGGTTTTGTGGGTCTTAAGCCGTGAAGTTGGTGGTAGATGTTCACGGCAGTGCGCGCTCCTGCTGATATTTGAAATGCTTAAAAAGAAGCCTGAATGCACGAAGTTCATACATGCAATTTACGAGGTTGAAAGGGGCACTGAACCTGAAGCTGGAAGGGAGGTGGTCCCAGAGCTGGAGGACAGTGGTCAGGGAGGAGAGCGGGAGGCGCTGAACTGATGGCCACAGCACCAGGAGGGAGGCAGAGCCCAATGCCTCCAGGCTGGGGTCACCAAGAGCAAAAATAGCTCTGGCCACAGGGGCCAGGAGTGTCCAGAAGTGGGGTGTGGGTGGAAGGTAGGGGCAGGCCTGCATGAGAGGTACAAGGGTCACAATGAGCTGGGCTCCTGGCTTCCTGGGGTGTGTCTGCTCCGGTTTGCTTCTCCTGCCAGACTGTGGGCCTGCCCCACACCCAGCACCCAGTGTGGCACCTGCAGGCACTTTGCCCCAGGCTGGGTCTGTGGTACCAAGTGGGGGTAGGTGGACCCCTGGGTGGATGCCTGTCTGGAGCTGGCCTGTCCTCCGCACTGATTTGCCTGTAGGCCACCCGCCGAGGGCTCGGCTACCCCCAGACAGCTGCACAGCAGCTGGGGAGGGGCTCTGGGAGGGCGACGGAGCCCATGGGTGCGTGCGGGCAGGTGGGCAGTCCTGAGCTGCAGGCAGGGGCGCTGTGCCCAGCCACGCCCGACCACCCCAGTGCCTCTCCAGGGGTTTGGTCTTCAGCCCCCAGGCACACTGGCAGAGGGGGCCTCTGGGCCGCCCCAGAGCCACGGCGGAGCTTCCCCACGGACCAGGCCGTCCTGGGACTGCGGTGCCATCAGGGCTGAGTCCCACGGTGCTTGAGGAAGGTGCTCTCCAGGAAGGCTGCCAGCTTTGTCCGGTCATCCTGCAGGGCGGGAAGGGGGTGTGGGGGGGGGTGGGGGGGCGCGTCCACCCTTCCCCTCCCAGCTTGCGGGACTGACCCTCGCACCTCGTGGACGAAACCGTAGTGGACCAACTCTGCAGCCAGGTCCTGGGCGCTGTCAGCTGTGCGGGGTGAGGCACGGTCAGGGGGCCGACCCTCTGCTCCCCACGGGCCCCTTCAGCCCCGCGCCTCAGCCCCCAGCCCCCGGGACTCTCCCAGACCTCCTCAGCTCCTCCAGGGCTCCCCTAGACCCTCTCAAGCCCAGGACGCCTCCGGGCCCCCGCGGCGCGGCCAGGCTCCCCGCCCCGCCCGCGGGGCCCCGGCCTACTTGGGAGCAGGTCGTAGCTGAGCTGCCGGTGCAGCCGGTCCTCCAGCACCAGGAGCAGGGTGAGCTGGGGGGCAGGCAGCATTGGCTCCAGAGCCCCCGGCCCCGGCCCCGGCCCGCCCCGCCCCGCCCCGCCCGCTCACATGCCAGCGTGCCTTGTCCTCGCCGCGCTCCAAGCTGCACTGCATGTGAATGACCTGGGGAGGCGCCCGGCCAGTCAGCCACCGCAGCCGGTGGGGGGCCGGGCAGGCCAGGGCCTCAGAGCACGCTCAGTGCTCGTGGCAAGTTACGGAAACTTCCAGAAGAGAAGGCCAGGCGGTTAGGTGCTGAGGGGCGAGTGGGGGGTCAGTACGCCCGGGCGGGGCAGTGGGTAGGCCTGGCCCCTGGGCGGGCTGCGTGCTGAGGCTCCTGCAGCAGGGGCGGGGCGCTGACCACTGGGGGGACAGCGGACAGGGCAGATGAGGCGCCAAGTGGGCCCTGGAGGGTGCGGCCCGTGGGGTGACAGGGAGGCCCACCGCAGGCCGAGGCCAGACACCCTGCAAAAGGCTGGGCCGGGCTGCCGCAGAGAGGCCCCGGCCGGGAGCTGCACGCAAGGGGCGGTTTGGGGTGCGCTGCCGGGGTCCTCGGCGGAGACGACAGGCTGCTGTGGGGAGCGGGGGGAGCGGAGAGGGCTGGGGTGGGTGAGACCCGGGCTCTGTGGGCCTGGCCACAGCCTGGGGCACGCGTGGGCAAGGGCCCAGGGGATGCTGGGGGGGTGTCCCCAACCCACACAGGGTCAGCCAGGACTGGCCCCGCGGACCTGGGCAGCAGGCGTGGGGCTCACCTTTCTGGTCTCCGAGTCGAAGGGCTCGGGTGTGGGGGTCTTGGCCTTCTGGGCCTCCTCAGGGGGTGGGGCCAGCGCCCGGGGCAGCCCCAGGGGCCGAGCGTCCGCGAAGTTCATCAGTGGGTAGATCCCATTCCTGGGGGTGCAGCGGGGTGACTGGGGAACCCGTCCTGGAAGGGCGCTGCGCCCCACGCACCTGTCTCACCTGACATCCTCCAGGAACTTGTCCAGCTCCAGGAAGGAGACCTCCGAGTACCTGCACGGGCGGAAGAGCAGGTGGCTAGCGGGCGGGCGGCGGGCGGGCAGCGGGCAGGCGGGACACGGCCGGTCCCCACTGTGCTCAGGCTTCGTCTCAGGGCACAAACGCAAGGCAGAGCCCAGAAACGGCGCCGAGGTCCACCGTTCCATCACCCGTTGGGGCGATCGCTGAGAAAGGGGACCGCCACCCTGCGAGTCGCAGCTCCACGCCGCCCCTTCCCGATGAGCAGGGCGCGGGAGGGAGACGGCCGTGGCTCCCTGCTAAGTCGGAGGGACAGTCGTGGCCGGGCCCCGCGGGCCTGCGCTCCTCTCCTCGCGGCCGAGGCCTGTCCCGCGACCACCGGCAACTCCGCCGGGGCCTGACGCGTCCGGACAGAAGTGCAGGCGCCGCGGGCCCAACGTCATCGGCCACAGAAGGAATAACCCTGCGCGGAGACCGACGCCCTCGGCGACAAGGAAGGCCTTCCGGAAGCCACCGCCCCGCTTTGCACTTCACCAGAAACACTCTGGGCTGTGACTGGTGTACTGCGTTAGGGTTTACACTAAGG